ATTTACCCGAAAAATGTTCAATATACTTAGAAGGAGTGTATAAACTACATCTTGAACTATTGTTTGTGCAGAAGTTGAAGTGCCATCTTCATTTTTAATTTGATTAGTAACTATTTTGGTAGCATTATAAATTTGAATTTTATCTGATTCGTGTAAATAATTATCCCACCAGGCTTTTAATTGGCCAGTAAAACCTGCTATTATCATTTGAGCAACTGTTAAATCCGTATTTCCTAATTGTTTTGCACTAGTAGCATATAAAGTCATTCTTTGAGTTAACAAATATATTTGTCTTTCTGTAAAACCATCTAAATTCTATTCATAGACGTTTTTACCATTATAACTATTATCTTGAATAAACTCTTGTTCTTCAAATAAAACGTCTTGAGGGGTAGGTCTATTATAATAATATTTAGATTGGACGGGTTTTCTAGCAAATTTACCATCATAACTCTCATATTTTATTTTATTAATACGTTTATCTTGTTCAGATTCAGACCCAGAATTATAATCTGATTCTTCAATTTTGTTTAAAGTATTTACACTTAAATTTTCAGGTTTTTTTAATTTTTCTAAAATTTGATCTAGTTTTGTTTCATTTTTAAATTTAAAATCTTTTATTTCTGGAGGAGGTTGGAAAGTTGCTATTATTTTTTCTTTATTCGGCTTTGTTTTCTCCATTTGAGACTGTTCGATAATTTTTATATGCTTTCTACTTTTCTTCTATAGAAAGAATTTTTTCTCCAAGAATTATAGAATATAAATTTGTAAAATTATTTTGTTGTATTAGTTGGTTAATATGTTCAACGGTTTTTGTAAAGTATTACTTTCAACTAATTTTTTGTAAGCAGAAAATTTCAAACTTATATTTTCTCTAGAAATTTGAAAACTTTGTTGGGGTGGAAAAATCGATTTTTGTATATTTCCATTTGTAAGAGTATATTCTCTTTCTATCATGTTTAAATAATTAATTATATACTTATGAAAAAACCATGGAACAAAATATATAGTTTTGTTAATTTTTGATAAATAAGAATAAAACTCATTTTGTATAATTGTTAATTCTTCTTTTGAAAATTCTTGGAATAACCAAGTTTTAAAAGGCTTCCATTTTTCTGTATAAATTCATTATAAATTATTGATCTTGCCGGTGATCCCGGACTAAAATTTATTATTTCTTTTCTATCCATTAAATTGGAAAATTCATTTCTGAGGCAGTAGGATCCTCTTCATAGACACCTTGGACTATATTTTCTTTTATATTTAATTGATTTATTTTCTTGTCTAATTGAGACGTAGAACACCGGGAAGGAGTTTCTACCTTATATTCTAAAGGCGATATATGAGAATATAATGATCTAGTTGATCTACATCTTCTTAATAGAGGTATTTCTCCATCATCATTATCGAATTCTATTTGAATTCTTCCTTCCGATGTTTGTATAATTTCTGTAATTTTATTATTTATTTTTGGTTGAGGAGGAACCGCTCCCTCTAAGACCCAATTTTTTGGGAAATCTATTTCATCCCACTTAATAGCTTTTCTAGTGGTTATCTTAGACATATCAAAATTACTTTCTATTAAAATAGTTTCATTATTAGGTTTATTAGTTTTTTTACACCTAGGGTTCATTGTTTTTAAAGGCCTATAGTATATCCTATAACATATACATATTAATTCAGATCCTGGCATATAATTGTATCCATTTGTTTTAACATTTAAAGTTAAAGCATCTAATATATTAACATCAGATAACGATAATTGTAAATTAGGATAAACATTAAAATATACTGGACCATTAGTTAAACTGGACTGTATTATGTCCATTAAAGATTGTTTCCAATTCATATTACGACCATCACGTAGTACAGCTAAAAAACTTTCTGGTAAACCTTGTAAAGTTAAAGGTTTAAAAGCAATTTGCACTAATCCTATATGTAAATAATTATGAGTATATTGATATCTATGAATATCTTCATATGTTAATAATTTAACAACCATATCATCTTGATTCATTGTTAAATTTTCTTCAGTTGTTTTAACTGATTGTATAAAACCTAATTCTTCAAAAGTACCTAGCTCATATAAAACTTTTGGTTGTATTCTAGGAATTGTCCATTTGTTTAGTAAATCTAATTGTTTTGGTATTTCATATTCTTCATTCATTTGATTTTTAACATTATTTCTATTATTCCTTTTGAATATGTGAAAATTCATTTGGAAAATAAGTGTTAAGTAATCTTATCAAACACATGGCTCTGATACCATATGTCACAGAGAATTATTCATATTTATATGTTTTAAATTACAAAAAGATGTTTGGAATGTGCAATTTTTAAAAATATAACTCTTAAAATATAAATTTTAAAAGAATTATGTCATTAAAATAAAGGTAAATGAATGCATATAGACATTTTTAGGTGGTAGATTACAAAAAATAGACAAGAAAATGACATTTTCCACATATAGACATGAATTTCGCAGAGCTACCTCCGAGGGCTCCGTGGAATTAACTTATGCTCCGAAAAATCGATGTGACATATTATATAATATATATATATATATATATATATATATATATATGTGTGTGTGTGTGTGTGTGTGTGGTGTCTAAAAAACAATTTATCGGAGCTATCTCCGATGAATGAACTTTTGTTCCGCGGAATGAACTTATGCTCCGAGGAATCGATATAGCCAAAAAAAAATCTGCCACATCGATTCCTCGGAGCATAAGTTAATCCCGTGGATCCCTCGAAGGTAGCTCTGCGAAATCCATGTCTATATGTGGAAATGTCATTTTCTTGTCTATTTTTTGTAATCTACCACCAAAAAATGTCTATATGCGTCTATTTCCCTAAAATTAAAGTCACGACAATGAAAAAAAGAACAATAACATCCATAAAATCCGCATACATTTTTATCCAATATCCACACAAAAATGAACCATAAAGCAAATGAATTTAGAACATTTATATTTTCGTCCATGTAAATAGAACCCATCAAAAGTTAAATCATGATCTTATTTTTTTTCTTTCAAAAATACACTTCAAACATATTAACATTCATAGTGTCTTCATGTACTTGTTTCATTAATGTGAAGAGAATTCATCAAAACACAATTTTTTTTAAACACACTTCAAAAACATCAAAACTCATAACATTTTTCTTAGTTTTAAATGTACAACATTCACTTAGAAAATTCTTGTTGTTTCTATTTTTTCTTTGACAAACACACTTTCAATACATAATACATCAAAATTGACAACACTTTTCTTTTGACTTTAAATATACAACCTTAAGACAATTATTCATCATCTCGAAATATCAAAAATTTTGGACCGACTCTTGTACACAACAAACTTTTTATGTAATTTTAAGAAAATATAAGGAAAAAATGTGTTGAAAGAAGAAAACAACTATATTTGAAACGTCTTTATTCTCATCCATTCTAGATAATGAAATTGAAAAGAAAAAAAAACAAAATGAAAAAAAAACAAGTGTTTCTTATATAGACAAAATATTCGAATTAAATAATCATTTAAGCAAGATAAGATGAAGAATTTAAGAGTTTCAAATAAATATGATTAAAAATAAATGACTTATCTTGAATTATATTCATTTGATTGTCCTAGTTTGCAAATATTAATCAAATAGATAGAAATACATGAAACTTAAAACACCTAAAATATCCTCGATTCCTCCTGAAAAGATGATTGCAAGTATTAATCAATAACGTGCTAGAATCATATTTGACATTGTGGATTTTAATTACTTTTTTTCTTGTTACCTTAAAGGAAAAGTATCCTTCGGCTAACACTTGGGTAGTGTTTGTTTTTTGTCTGCAGATCTGCGCGACCTCTTCTGTCTGCGCCGCGCAGACCACGCGCAGACATTAGCCATCGCAGACTATTTGTTTTTTTTGAAGACTGCAGACCTAAAAATGTCTGCGCGCACTCTTCTTGGCGCAGATGTGGACCAGAGTTTTCTAACATCTTCAGACATCTTCTAGCCTAAAAAAACATATATATATTTATTTTTTTTTTATTTTTTTTTTTAATTTATATTTTTTCCAACTTTATTAATGATAAACAATTTGAAAAAAAAAATTACAAAACTTTAAAAAAAAACGTTCGACAATACAAACATGATATTTTTTGACAAATTTTAGAAATAAAAATTATTACATAATAGTCGTTGAAGTTGTTTATATAAATATGAAAAAAAAATCGTAATATATTCTTATATTTTTTTGCAAAATTTTGTGAAACATTATTTAATACAGTATCGTCAATTTCTCGAGAAAATATTTATGGTATATTTTTAATGGATTTAATTGAAAAAATCGAAGTTTATTTCCATCAATTTATGTATTAAATTCTTTGATCACTAATTATAATGTTTAGTTATAACTTTGCAACCAAAGTTGTTGGTTTTTATCAAATATATACGTTAATTCATACCATTTTTTTTATTTTTTATAGAATAATACATAAAAGTTGATCTAGATTCGTTAATTATCTATAACAAAATCATAAAAATATTAAAAAATCACTTTGAAGTTTAAAAAAAAAATCAGTTTATTTAGATTTCAGTTTAATTTAGTAGCCCGCAGATGTTAAAAAAACAAACAGTCTTCTTTTTTTAGACTGAAGACGTTTGATCCACCTCTTCTACTGCAGATGTCTATAGATGTGGTCCGCAGACTGCAGACATTTTGTCTCAGAAAAAACAAACAGCACCTTGGACTTGGGATAAAAAACCTACCATGAAAAAATCAAAAGATTGTAGCCCAATAAATCTAAAGTGTAAATTATCATCGTCCCAATTCGATTCAATTTTCAGGTCCATTTTTGCAAACCAACTACAACTCACAACAATTTATCTGTATAATGTGGCCCATATCAACTTACTAGTCCAAATTGATCAAACTAAGATGTAACACAATTTGGGCCCAAACCCTAAGCCTTATATAAGTTAACCATCAAACAAGATCCTCAGTTGCAACCATCGAAAAACCCTAGTTTCCACTACCGGAGCAGCCGCAGAGTCCTTCTCAGCACGACAACATCTCGACAATGGTAATTCTCGATCTAATATCGGTTTCCTGTTCTGAATTTCATGAACTATTTGTCACAATTTAATCCGATAATGATGTATCTCCGTTCATTAATGTTGTTTAGGCGGAAGTGGAGGTTGATGTAGCGGCAGCCGGAGTGCCGAAGAAGAGGACGTTCAAGAAGTTCAGTTTCAGAGGAGTTGATTTGGATGCTTTGCTTGATATGTCAACTGATGAGCTTGTAAAGCTTTTCACTGCTCGTGCTCGCAGAAGGTATTCTATTTGTCCATCCTCTACAAATTCATCTAAAACTGTTGATCATTATGCATCTGTTGTTCTTAACGAATGTGGTGCACTGATAGGTTTCAGAGAGGTTTGAAGAGGAAGCCCATGGCTTTGATTAAGAAGCTTCGCAAAGCTGTAAGCTTCTTATTCTTTCCTATAATAATGTTTTTGATACTTCAATTAGAATTAGGTTTATACAATATCATTTGCTTAGATTACTTTGGCTCATCAGAATCCAAATATGTTAAGCATACACTTCGTCGCCATTGTTGATTTCATATACTTCATTGTGAATTAGCCTTACTTTCTCCATCAAAGTATTTTGCTTTACCCCTACAAAGTCTGGTTTATATGCAAAGCACACATTGTCTCATTCAAAAACCCTTTTCGTTCACCCTAATGATGATGTTTCTCCTTATACACAAAAGAATCTTGAATTTGTCTAACAACTGTTGCAGAAATGATTGCTTTAATAAAAAAATTTGACTTGTGTACAGAAACGTGAGGCACCAGCTGGAGAAAAGCCAGAGCTTGTGAAAACCCATTTGAGGAACATGATCATTGTCCCTGAAATGATCGGAAGTGTTGTTGGTGTTTACAATGGAAAGACTTTCAATCAGATTGAAATTAAGCCTGAGATGATTGGACACTATCTTGCTGAATTCTCCATTTCATACAAACCAGTTAAGCATGGAAGACCAGGTATTGGTGCTACTCACTCTTCCAGGTTTATCCCATTGAAGTGAGGGGATGAGGGGATGATGTTAAGCAGTGTTTTGGTTTCCTCAACATTTATTATATGTTTTGTTATGTTTTTGTTTTTGTTTAAGTTTTGTGATACTTCTTTGATCTTAATTAAGTTTTGAAGGTAGATTGATACATTGGAAAAATGGCAATTTTATGAATCGTTTGGTTGTTGCTTTACTATGTTCTATTTGAGGTTTTTGGTTGTTACATGTTTTTATCCTCAGGACTAAATTTTAACTCAAAATCTTGACAAACATATATAGTTTTTTTGCAAACAGTGGATGAGTATTTCTAACTTTTGAAATTATGAAATAACAATGAAAGGTATGAACTTGGAAAGTAAGATAACATATTAACATGTGTGTGAAAGTATGAATGGGTTTCACCCTATGAATTTAATGTATACAATGCTTGAATAAGTTTACAGAAAGTTAGATGCATATATGATCATGGTTGCATAAGAAATGCGACAAAAATCATAATAATACAATGCTATTTTTTGAAGTAATGTGACAGAAAAAAGTTATAGCAATGTCCATAGATGAAGATTTGGAGTGAAACCCAAAGTAAATTGATATTTCTTGAAATTGTGGGACAAAAGAAAAATGAATGTAAATGCATTGCATTCTAGCCTTGAGTAACACTTAAAAGATACCACATGTGGATATCACCAACAATAGCCAACATTCATGCAAAATGAGATAAGAAAATGACTATGTTTCATGAAAATTAGCTTAAGTACCACTATCAAAATATTCTAAATTTATCCTTAAAGTTTGTCGATTTAACAAATAATAATAATAATAAGAAACTAAATATTCTTCTTATTTTTTTTCCCTATTTATCTTTCTACCTATTTGAAATAATGACAAATATATTAAAATATAATCAATATTATCTAAATATAACACTTAGGAGGATATTTAATTTCTCAATAGAAAAGCTCTCGTACTTCACAAGTTACTAACTCCGTTTGAAAAAAAAAATTGGGTAAACCTGATTTTGATTTTTTTTTTTTTTAAAACACAACCTACTTTTACCATTTTTTGATATTATTTTTTATACATTTAGCAACCAAACTATTATTTTAATAACCAAAGTGGATAAAATGGTAAAACCACAACAATAATAGTATGGAAAATGGTTAAGAGAATAAATAGATAAAATGATAAAAACACGTCATACCTTTCTCTATTTTTCCCAGAAATTACAATTATAATGAAATTTAGAGTCAATATACATAACTTTATCTACGTTGCAACCGTTTACACAGCTACTTGATGATCCACATAATCCGTTTCTTCATCTTCCAAGTGACCATTTTCATCTTCTTCACTCTCATATGTATCAAGATAGACATCTTCTCCTTCCACCTAAAAAAAAACACGTATTATTACATAATGAAACAAAGCATTTACAAAAAAAAAAAAAAAAAGCACACACGTATTATACAATACTGTTATAAATGGGTAGATTTTTATTTTAAAGTACAATGTTGTAATATGAAGAAATGAAAGTAAGATGCTACGATAAACAAATATATTATAGCATGTTGTTATTTCTTGCATAGTTGCATTTAACCCTTATTATAATTAATAGGATATTTTATGTCGAGGATGAATTTCTATAATAATTAATATTGAAGAAAAACGACATTAAATAATGAAAAAAAAAATCATTTGTGGAAAATATAATAACTAATACCAAATCCCTATTTTTTTTATTTTTTTTTTCATATAAGAGCTAAATGAAGAAATAGCAAAGAGCTTTTATATATTTGTTTATTGTATCATAATATTTTCATTTTTTTTTGTGATTTGTACTTTAAAAAATATACCCAATAAACAAATGAAAGTTTGTTGTTATTTTCTTTTTGTTTAGCTTTTTAACAAAAAAAAAAAAAAAAAAAAAAATTTACCTCACTATCTTCATCTTCGGTGGAATAAGCCGCATCTAATTTGTCATATAACTCCTCATCTACTTCATCTTTGATAGTTGAAACATGTTCCTAAATCATTCATTGATGATAAAAATAAATAAAAAAACATTACAATAATGTTAACATTCATGCAAATGAAAGTAGGATGCTATAAATATTAAATAGAAGATCATACGATTTCAGATTGCAGTTTTCTCATTCTTGCATTCAAAGTTGAGATATGATTCATAAGAGCCTGTTTAACAAAGAATCAAAACAGAAATTCAGCTTCATATTAAAACACAAATATAGAAAGTCAATGAAAGGAAACTTTCCCGATAAAATACTAACTTTTCACAAATTTTCCCTTGTTTTTTTTTTCAAGTTAAATATAAGAAATAGCAAAATATACTTTCATTGATTTGTTTATTATAGCATCTTACTTCTCATTTTTTTTTTTCTTCCTGTTATTAGGAAGAAAAAAAGACCTTATATTTTGTGTTTTTTTTTCCGGATTAAACCTTAAATTTATTTTTTTCTTGAAAAAGACCTTGTATTTTTTCATTTTTTCCGAAAAAACCCTCAACTTTTTCTTTTTTTTTGTCCGAAAAAAACCCTCAACCTTCTAACTGTTTCGGAAAAACCCCTCAACTTTTATAGTTTTTTCCGAAAAAAAAACTCACATTTTACAAGTTTTTTCGGAAAAAAATATGACTAAAAGGGTCGGATCGAAAAAAATGAAAAAAATGCAAGCTCTTTTTCAAGAAAAAAAAAAATAAAGTCTCGAGGTTTAATTAAAAAAAAACAAAATATAAGGTCTTTTATGAGATTAACCCAAGATTTTTCAATATATAATGTCATAATAAGCGTTACAATAAAGCAGAAAGTAAAATACTATAATTAGGTAAAATTTTCAAAGTACAACGTATTAACAATTAAAAAAAATTGAAAGTATTCAATTTTTCCTTTTGTTTCACAAAACATGTCTTAAATATCTCAAATACTTTTTAAACATCATTTATTCATACAAAGCACTTCATAGGAATAAATAAAAAAAAAAAAAAAAAAAAATCATACCTCACGTCTTTGAAGCTCAATAGAACGTGCCAAAGCTTTCCTTTTTGTTAACAAATTTTTGGGTCTTAATTTAGAAGGTCTTTTATAATCATTACCCCTAAACACAATAATTGCATACCCTTTTGAAATTTTATCAACCGAAACTAATACACCTCCACTTTCTGATTCAAGTGATAATGCTATATTTTTAACTTCTTCAAAATTTGTTTCTTTTATAATAATTTTAACCAATTCTCTATATTTCCAATGAAGATGCATATTTTCCACAGTTCCATCAAACACCCCACGCCTACCTACAATTAATTACAAAACAACAATCAAATGTTTTTCATTGGAATCAAAATACCAACGTATTTTACTCTTTTACTCTTTTTTTTTTACCAATATAGACATTGTACTTTACTTTCCTTTTTTCTTTTTTTTTTATCTTTTCTACAATTATTAGATATGAAAGGGAAAATTTCATAAATAGTAACATACTTTACTCTTTTTACCAATATATGCAATGTACTATATTTTTTTTCCCTATTATAGCAATGTCCTTATATTTTTGTACCCATAATAGTATCTTAGTATTTACATTTCTTTACACATAATAGAATATATTTTTAAACCCATAATAACAAGGTATCTACCTACCTACATTTTCTTACCCATAATAGCAATGTATATAACAAATAAAGTACATTGTTCATACTGATAGCAAAATTTAGGCTTAATCTCATATAAGACCTTATATTTTGTGTTTTTTTTCTGGATTAAACCTCATTTTTATTTTTATTTTCCTGAAAAAGACCTTGCATTTTTTCATTTTTTCCAATCTGGCCCTTTTAGTCATTTTTTTTTCTGAAATAACTTGTAAAATGTGAAGGTTTTTTCGATGAAAAACTAAAAAAGTTGACGGTTTATTTGGAAATAGTTAGAAGGCTGAGGGTTTTTTTCCAGAAAAAAAGGCAAAGTTGAGAGTTTTTACTTTTTTCGGAAAAAATGAAAAAATACAAGATCTTTTTTAGGAAAATAAAAATAAATTTGTGGTTTAATCCAGAAAAAAGCACAAAATATAAGGTCTTTTGTGAGATTAACCCGAAAATTTTTATTATGGTAAAAAAAAAAAACAAATATACTGCTATCTTGGGTTAAAAAGAAAGTACATTGCTATAATCAGTAAAGAAACATAAAGAATAAAAATATAAGTATGTTTCTATTATGGGCAAAAACTAAAGTATATTGGTAGCAACATACTTACATTTCTTTACCAATAACAACAATATCTAACAAATGAAAATATAATGCAAGTATTTGTTGTTATTATGGTAAAAAGATTCACATGCCACATGCATTGGTATAATTAGTAAAGAAATGTAAGTAAGTTGGTATTTTGGGAAAATAAAATAAAGTATGAAAATGAAGAAAGCTTATTTTATTTGTATTAGTAATTATTTTACCAAGGAGTAAGAAAGCTTTCATCCTTAAACCGAGTTTCCTGAACATAAATCTTTCCTCATCTGTGATACTATTTGGATCCGCGGGTCGATCCGCTGGATCTAGAAATGCTTCCACTTTTGATAACGCGTGTTCTGCTTTCATTAATTTTTTATCAGCCTGTAAAAAAATTAATATATGGTAAATATGATTATATAAAAAAAAAAACAATCCAATTCTTCGAATAAGTCAATTTAGAGGGTTGTAATTTGTTAATATACTATTTTTTGACAGTTTAAAAAAAAAACAATTTTTTTCAGGTAATATGATTTTGGAAAAGATTAAAATAAAGTTAAAAACACAACAAACTTTCATCCTTTTATAGATTTAGGCATTTAGCCACTGAACTTTTTTTTTATGATTATTGTGATAAACTAGTTCAATGGCTAAATCAATAAAAAGTAATAACTAAATCGATAAAATGGTGAATTTATCGATTTGCCCATTGAACTATTTTCTATTGTGATTAATCTGTTATACTTTCTTTGACCTTTTAAAATCAATTTTTCTAGTTACCCGATTTGTTTTTAAACATTAAAAAAAGTATTAACAGTTTGATCACTACAAAAAATAGTTATTGACTAAAATGGTGAAAGTATGTTGTGCTTTTTTGTATTTTGCCCTAAATTATAGGGTTAATCTCAAAAACACCTTATATTTTGTGTTTTTTCCGGATTAAACCGCAAATTTATTTTTTGCGTGAAAAAGACCTTGTATTTTTTCATTTTTTCCGATCTGACCCTTTTAGTCATTTTTTCCAAAAAAGTTGTAAATGTGAGGGTTTTTTGGAGAAACTAAAAAAGTTGAGGGTTTGTTTGGAAGCATTTAAAGGGTTGAGAGTTTTTTTGGGAAAAAAAATACAAAGTTGAGGGCTTTTTGGAAAAAATACAAGGTCTTTTTCACGCAAAAAATAAATTTGAGGTTTAATCCGGAAAAAAACACAAAATATAAGGTCTTTTTTGAGGTTAACCCAAAATTATATTAACCAAAAAGACAAATCATTACAAATCAAAGTTTCAAGAAACTCACAAATCTAAGCTTCCTTTCAAGCTTTCTAACAAGATCCTCTTGTCTAATTACTTCTGCTTCTTGAAAAACTTTTTTCTTATGATCATCATCAAGCTTTTTTGCCCATCGAGCATTTGCATCAAGACTTTCTCCAAGTGTCCCTGTAGATCCTCTCAAATGTTCATATTTTTCAACTTTTGGTGTTATAAAAGTTGATGCTCTTAATCTTGCTTCCTCTTCTTCATCTTGTAAAGATATTGCAAGTCTTTCTTTTTCTAATAAAACCTCTGAAACATTGGGTGACAAGAAATCTTTTCCTCTGTAAAACACCAAGAAATCTTTGTTTCTTGACAAAAGTATCCCTCCTGTCAATTTCTGCAAACAATAAACACAATCACATTGTTGAAGAATGATAAATATATAGGTTTCAAATAAGGGTATATAAGTAAATTTTACTCTAACTTCGGATAATGTTTGGATGTGCTTTTGTTATATAATCACATTCGATGGAGTTTGTTTGACAAATTTCAATTGTTTAGCAAATTAACAGATCAAATAAGGGTATATAAGTAATTTTACTCTAACTTCAGATAAACAACTTTAGTACCAAAATAACAGAATAAAATAAGGGTATATAAGTAACTTCACGAAATTTGTTGTGGCTAGTATGTAGTATCACAATAACAGATAAAATAGGGTATATAAGTAATTTTACTCTATCCTTGCATAAACAAGTGTTAAAACTCAAAAAGAATGATAAGCATAAGTAGCCAAAAAGTTACAAAAATTTCGTCATATTTATATTTTTGTAATAATTTTATTAAGTTATTTTTTGAGTACCTTGATATCTTCAGCCATTCTCTCACTTGTAGTTAGTTGAACACCACGTTTTAGAGCAACTTTTGCAATTGAACTCCTTTCCCACAACTTAATTATTGCAGCTGCTAAACCTTGATGTTGTCTGCTTCTACCTAAAAATATACATATAATCAAATATATTATAAAATTCTTAATATGTTTTATAAGGTACTTTCTATTTATTTGATCACCAAAATTCAAAATTTGGTACTCAAAAGCACCAACTTTTCAAAAAGGGTAATATAAAAGGAACAACAACGTACTTTTCTTGATTTGTTTATATTTATAATAACATTATACTTTCATTTCTTTCTATTAGAGCATTCTACTTTGAAGATCTACCCAAATATAGTAGATGTCATCCAAGTAAAAGCAATTTTCATTGCTACAAATGGACATGTTTTTTCAAAGTACACATAATTCGGTAGATTTTTCAAAGTACAATGTGTTAATAAGGAAAAGAAATTGAAAGCATAGTGTTGCAATAGAAAGAAATGAAACTAGGATGTTATAATACAGATAGAAATGAAAAGTCAATTGCTATTTATGACATTTAGCTCTTTGAAAACGGATTATTTAGGTCAAAAGTCGGATAGTTTTAGTAACGATTTTCAAAGTACAATGACCAAATTAGAAACCCCATGAAAGTATCTTGCTATTTTTATCAATAACTTGTACAAAAAAAGTGGCATACTACATACCTAAAGCAAAATGTGGAGGAAGAACTCTTGCAAGCCTTCTTAAAGTAGTAGCTTCTTTTCCAATAAGTGTAGCTTTGACTCCATATGGAAGTATTCTAAAAGGTGGTTCATACCCATCGAGGGTTCCTGGTAACAAATCCGCATCCACGGGTAGTGGATCACACCCTGGCCAATCAGTGTACCTCGGGCCCAATCCTTCTAGAAGCTTGTCCACTTCTTTTTCATAGCTGTTGTCTGTTTCTGTGTCTAATTCTTGGACTTGTGAATCTTCTTCTTCCATTGAAGCAGTGTCAGAAAAAGACGATTTTTGTGAAAGTTGTTTGTTGTATTCACGTTTTTGTTGTTTTAAAGAAGGGTCTTTGTATTCTACGCCTCTATAGAGAGCAATGGTGCTTCCGGATCTCCAAATCACTAACCCTCCAGTTCTCATCTAATATTAGTTCAAGATTTTATATTAATAACTAACAAGTAGATGTAGTATTTGAGTTAAAGAATTGAATTTGTAAAAGTAGATAAGGTTAAATGCTTGTTTTTATGCAAAAAGAAGGTGTTTGTTACATGAAATATGAATAAGTGAGAAACATTGTTGCATAAGTAAAGCATTTCATATGTATTATGTCATAAGGTGATTGGTTCTAGTTATAATGTTGCATATTTTAGACATAGAATGAAACATGGGTATGCATGTTTCGTCAAAAAAACAATTTTGTTACATAAAATAAGAAGGAGATGAAACATTGTGGCATAAACAAGCATCTAATCCACACATATATTATTTATGCCAAAAAGATATGCAATATCTTAGGAGCAACATGTTTAAATAGTTGAAACATGGTTCCATAATTCATGTCATTTGCATAAATTGGTAGAAAAGTGAAACATGGTTGCATAAGTTAGCATTTAACCAGTGTCACATCATGAGGTAACTGATTCTAGTTATAATGTTGCATATTTGGTCATGGAATAAATCATGGTTGTATATTCTGTACTTTCATTTTTTGTCTTACTAAGGCATTGTAGTTTGAAAAATCTACACAATATAGCATTGTACTTTCAATATTTTTCTTATTATATTTTGAAAAATCACGCAATTATAGAAGTGAAAGTTGCTTTATATATCGATGGCATTCCAAAAATTGAATCAATTTTTTTTCAAAATACAATGTTGTAATAGAAAGAAATGAAAGCACATTGCTATTTATTGCATAATTCTATGTGTATATGCATGTATATATATGCATATAAACAAACGGATCATATATCTTTAATATTCTAGAATTATTGAAACTCAATAACTACATATAATGTGTTTGTATCCATGAAACATAATTCTAGGTTCTATCACAAAAATTGCTTTAATCTTGAAACTTTTCAAAGATATATGACTTTAAAGTTCTATCCCATCGATTCTCATTTCTTATCATGTAATAATTTAAATTTCTTTTCAGATAAGGCTAATCCATTTCTAATACACAGATCGAAAAAAGTTGCAAGAAACTTACTTCTAATATCTCATGCATGCGCCTCATATTAAGTGCACCAGATCCTTCGATTTTGAGCTTCACAACTTCTGCTGATTTCCACTTATCTTTAATCAAAGCCACCATTTCTCTAGTAACACCAGCACCCGTGATTCTTGTCTTGTTCTTCAATTTAAAAGCTAAGTTCCTCAACCTCCTCAATTCCGACTCTGGAATCGTCAATTCCGCCACACAAGTCTTACTCTTTTGCCTCACTGAATTCCTATTCGCATCTTCCTCTGAAGGTTTCTCCCATGGGAATCGCACTTTCCCGTTACTACCCCTAAACACGTCTTCAACTCCAAGAGGTGATTCCGGTGAAAACCCACCTCTGGAATTCGGTAAAATCCCTTCCTCAACGTAGAATATGTCCTCAATTGAACCCTTCTCGATTTCCCTCTCTTTCTTTTCTTTAACGTCATCGACATACCCAAATTTCTTTAGTTTCTCCACGATTTTGTCCATCGTACTACCAGTACTACGGTGTACACCGCCATCATCACTATCGGAATCGTCCCCATATCGATAATTTAAAACTGGTTCAGCCTTTTTAGGCCAATTTTGCTTGTGGGTATCATCCCATTTCTCTAACCAACCACCACTAGTGTTACTTTTTGACTGCAAAATCGGTGATTCTGCGATAGAACCCGCTTCATTGTTCTTATTTCTAAGAACAATTTTGGATTTTTTATGGGGGGTCGGGTTTAAATTTGTCGAATTACTTTCATAATTAGCAATGACTTTGTGTTTCTTGAAAGGATTATAAGAGCAGTACCTGAAGAAATGGAGCTTGTATACTGAGCTGTGAAACGAGTCTAAACGAGTAGGTACCAGAGCCATGTTTTCATGAAGGTCTCCTAGTAGAAGATAGATACTCTCCAATCGAATGACCTACATACAGAAAGAAACGAAAAATGAAAAGGGAAATTTAAATTTATTCCCCCAAGTTATAAGTTATTGTCATCTAATTTTATTTTATTCGATTTTAGGTTCATAATTTGACATGTTTTTAGTAAATAAACTATTTTGTTTGTTTTTACTTTTTAAGTTGTAGTAAATTTATTCCCCCAAGTTATAAGTTATTGTCATCTAATTTTATTTTATTCGATTTTAGGTTCATAATTTGACATGTTTTTAGTAAATAAACTATTTTGTTTGTTTTTACTTTTTAAGTTGTAGTAAATTTATTTTTTTTGAATAGGAAGCAATATACCGGCACAAAAAGGCTTAAAAGGGAATCTCAAGTCAAAATACAAGAGAAATTCAAGATAGAAGACATACACCATATAAATCAATTATAATTTTTAAATTTGATTTATTTTTATCCAATTGAAAGTGGTAATACTAATAATCTAATATCATATGTCACCGATAAAATTGTCCGTGTTTCGTTTCTAAAAACCAAAGCATTTCTTGTTTTCCAAATCATCTAAAGAGATAACTAAATGAGAGAAATAATCACTTTTTGCATCCTCCTATAACCGAGTTGATCTTCTCCATGAGGCTAGAACAAGAATAAGGTGGTTCATTAATAGCAACAGACCACCCCACCAACCATCTCCAAACAGTTTTAGCGGAATCATATGGTGCTTCATACTTCCATTAATAGCTCGATGCATACTCTTTTGATAAGGTTGTTATAGGTGGGCATTCCATCTTGGAATAACCTCCACACAAAGCAGATAAATTTTAGTGGAATCTGATTCACCCAAATAAACTTTGTCTCCTGATTATCATAGATTTATCAATAATATGTCTCATTGCCTTTACCGAAAAAGCTCCACTAGAATGACCATGCCAATGTCATTTATCACTGGTATGTTTGAACTAAAACTCTCCTAGTAGATCCAATAACATCGAGAGTTGAACAACTTCCCTCCCCATTCTCACTTTTCGTGACCATCCCAACTCCGATATGGTTTGTAATCAGTTTCAAGAATAGCCATGTCACATATTAAGCAATACTTGTGTCTTGCCAAAATATACAAGGTGGGACACAACACCTTTAAAGGGATATCACCATATCAAATGTCCTTCCAAAAATAAATCTTGTCCCCAAAACCAACCGTCCTTTGAAACATGCTTCTGAACTGAATTCCTTTTTTAGCCAAATCCCCCTCAATTTGAGCAATGTTGAGCCTAAACACCCTTTATAGGGCTTTTAGCAATAGGCTTTCCATCAACAAGTTTAATGTTATGAATTGATTTTGTGCATGAAACCCACAAGGAATTACCTCCATTTTTTAGACGCCACCACCACTTGGCAATAAGAGCCAAATTTGTCGAGTCAATACGACCAACACCAAGCCCACCTCTCTCCCTTATTTAGTAAGCATATCCTAACGATCCAATTAATGTTTCGATTATATTCATCTTCTCCCTATAGGAATCTACCCTTTATGCTTTAAAGTAGATTTACAATCTTCCTTGGAGCTCTAAATAAAGAAAATTAATGAAGTGGAATACTATTAAGAACTGAATTAATAAGATTGAGGCGGCCTCCAAAAGATAAAGACTTCGCTTTCCATTTAGAAAGTTTTTTACTTGAATTTATTAATCACTGGGCTCCAATGTTTTGCTAGTTTCATATCCACCGGGAGACCAATGTAAGTCAACGGAAAGGAGGCATACTCACATTTTAAAATACTATGAGTCTTTCAATTTCCAAGGCATTAACACCCACTCCATATACCTTGCTTTTGTGCAACTTCACCTACAAACTAGAGGCAAGAAAAAAACAATGAAGCAATCCATAATAAGATTAACAAAATTAATTTCCGACCACTCTCCTGTAAACGTCACGTCTTCAACATACATAATGTGTGAAACAAAAATATTATTATTTGGGAGAGAAAGACTACGAAACTAGTGAAGCTCACAAGTGGTCTTTATGGAGACGTGAAGACCTTCCATAACAATTATAAAAAGGAAAGGGTGAAAGAGGATCACCTTGTCTAACACCTATTTTGATGTCAAATTCTTTAGTGGTTGATCCATTTACCAAGACGAAACCCTGACTCGAATAAAGACAACCCCTAATCCACCTTCTCCACTTCCACCCAAAATCCATTTGCTCCATAATCAAATATAAAAAATCCTAACTCAAGGAATCGAAGGCCTTCTCAAATTCCACATAGAAATGTAAATGTTTTTTCTTTGTTTTTTTACGCCTATGAGACAATTTCATTCAACAAAAAGCGAATTAACTAAAATGCTTCTCCCCTCCACATACGATGTTTTCTCATGGCTAATGATCTTGTTTAACACTTTTTTGAGACAGTTAGCGAGAGCTTTCAAGGAAACCTTATAAATATAACCAATAAGGTTTAATGACCTCTAATCTTTCAAAGAGAGTGGGTCTCGGGTCTTCGGGAGCAAACAAATTAAAGAGGAGTTACAACCTCTCGTTAAGCAGTTGTAGTGCTCAAAATCATTCACAAAAAAAACAACATCTGATTTAATCATATCCAAATAATGCTTGAGGAATTTGAATGTAAAGCCATCAGGCTTTTCCACAACAACGAACAACTTGTTTTACTTCAGTATCAAAAAACGGCTTCGTAAACATACTCCTATCTGTTGACACATGAAAAGTGAACCCTTAGCAATCCGAAGACAAGCCAAAATCGAAATGATGTGTATTCTGAAGTGTGATGATTTCTATAACACCCGGATCAGGTGCATATTATCTTCCATCTCGTAAAGTTTAAAGTTTCCCATTTTTTCCCTTCCCACAACGTGAGGAATGCCTTCTCACGTTGTGAAGAGTAATTCAGATCCGTGCATCATTTTAAGGCTCACGATGTGAGCAGTCTGATGCTCACGATGTGACAACGGCTGGTGACAAAAAAACTCTAAGTTTACGGTATTTAAAGGAATGAGAGGGATAAGGTTTCTGACCCTCAGCCTCCCTCACTCTCTAGACCTCCAAAAACCATAATCTTCCTCCTCCTTGAGATCCTTTGTCATTTGGGTGTATTTATAGCTTGTGGAAAGAATAGAAGAAGAAGAAGAAGAAGAAGAAGAAGGAAGTGATCTAGTGTTGGTGTGGGATAAGAATCAGCATCAGCATCATCTTTTCCTTCTTTTAGACCCTTGTAAGTATCAAAGACTCCAACTTTATTGTTTATCATGGATAGATCTTTAGTTTTGTCCATTTTATTGATGTTATTGCATGATTGAGTTGAGTAGATCCATAAATTTGGCAATTTTATGGATTCTAAGAGTCCCAAGAGCATTATAGTGTTCAGATCTGGAAGTTAGTATAGATTTGAGGCGTGCATGCAAGTTTGAAGCTCATTTATTTCCTTTTTGACCTAGAAAATGGATGATCATGTTTGGTGCATGCATGAACATAAAGGAAACATTTTTATGGACCTTAGGGGTCCCCTTTTGCTTCTGGATGAAGTGGAGTCGAAGAATTAATGGATTAAGGACTTAAAATGGTTACCCTTAGCCTCAGACAATGCTCACGATGTGAGAATCGAAGCATTCCTATTTCTATTAGAACCCTTGAAGCTCACGAGGTGAGAATGGGTGCTCACATCATGATGCCAGCTCGGGTGGTTTCTTTAGCTGGGTTGACCAGTTTGGGTCGAGTCGAGTTGGAAACAGATCGGGTTCGCTGTCACGACATGACCGATGTATGGCAACGATGTGAGGATAGTTGACTTTGACTTTGACCAAGTTTGACTAAGTTTGACCTTAAGGGTATTTTGGGATTTTGATGGAAATTGGTCATTTGATGGGAATATGTGTCTGTTAGAGAGCTGAGATTCGGAGTCGAGACCTTATCAGCTTCTGTTCAGTTTTCGAGGTGAGTTTTCCTCACTGTACTTGTGCGTCGAAGGCACCAAGGCCGACCCATTGGATTGTTATCCTGGTTTATCATATGTTGGTATGCTATAGTGATCTGTTAGATCTATATCCTGGTATATAGGATGATGATATGCTTAGTGATCTGTAAGATATGTCTGATTGTTTGTTGACTGGTTATATGTATAATTATTTGTTATGTATATGTCGACATGGTTATGTGTGGTTGGGTTGAGAAGGACCAGTGTGTACTGAAGGCCAAGAGACCTAGGGCAGACCGAATAGACTGAAGGCCTGAGAGGCGTACCAGTCAGGCCGAAGGCCTAGAGAACGGTCCAGATAGGCTGAAGGCTCGATGTGGCGGTCCAGTCATGTTGAAGGTTTTGTGAGCGGTCCAGATAGTCTGTAGGCCGGTGCGGCATTCCAGTCAGGCTGAAGGCTTTGTTTGGGTTATGTTTCAGGTACTTCGGATGATCGCGGGAAGGCGAAGGCGTGACCGTACACATCCTCAAGTTTGACTTATGATTTTGGGAGACTCTGATGTTGAACACATTTTGAAAACTATGTTTGCAAACAATTTGTGAAATTGGTTGGTTTTGAAAAGTTTAAATTTATCATGATTTTTATGAGTGTTAGTTGGTATCAGAGCCTTGGTTTGAGTGAATTGGAGGAACACTCGTGTGAATCCAATCTCAAACTAAGGAAATGATTTTAAAAATGATTTTCCAAATAATCAAAGAGGATGCGATGTGTACGATCAACCGGAGCCAGTAAGTAGACCCCAAATTACCACACTGTTATTTGATTTTGTGATATGTTAGGACCATATGCTAGTGATAGGCTAGGGATCATCAGGGATTGCATGATAAAATTTCCTGATTATATGATGCATGATAGCCTAGGGTTCTGTTGGATTAGGTGTCTAAGCCCATAACTATAATTGGTATGTACTTGATTTGATAGTAGCATGGTCCTTTTGGGTTGCCTTCACACTGACAATTAGACAAGATGACTATTGGAGAGAGAGGCTGATTTTATTGTTTAGAATAATAAATTGGTGCATAAATATGATTTATTAATATATTA